TATACCCCTTCTATTTATCTTATTCTAATTATTTTATTCTAATTATTAAGTAAGGTATTAGGTGCAAGTTGCTTAGCATAGCATCAAGCTAAATTCTAAGTATTCAATGACTGGTAGCTATAGCTATTGTGTATAAAGGGATAATTGTTGAATTTTGTTAACCTATAGATTTTTTTTAAGGAATAGCAATATATTGAATAAAATTTCACAGATGCTAGGAATGAAGTTATGTCCTTTCTGCATTTGATTTCAGGTGTTCTGGTGATGAATTCTTGATGATACAGGACATCGATCTCTCACTCTGGGGGTTGTGGAAGAATCACGTGGCTTTGGCTTCTCTGATGATTATTTTTCTCACAATTGCATACCTAAAATTTTTATTTCTTAAAACACCAATTTTCGCTTCAATTTTCTATGAATTAGATTTACATTTAAAAAGGACCTTGATTTAAGTATCTAATGAGAATATCTTGTTATGTTCTGTTCATTTCCATTACACTATAGATCAGCAACAATTTTTTTTCTTTTTTTTATTGGTTGTTCAAAACATTACAAAGCTCTTGACATAAGCAACAATTATTTTTAATATAAAAATACAGGACAACAAATTGAATTAAACATCAAATAACCCAAGCCAAAACCCAATGATATTACATATTGCATTTTAATTTATCTCATCAGACAGCAAGCATTAGGAGGAAATGCTGGCTAATTTATTGAACTAAGGGGGAAAAAAGGAGGATTTAACTCTAGAAGTTCTTGAAAAGTTGCTAATATCTCTGGTATCAGTTTCCTCATGTTCAAAATGAGTAGGCCAGTAGCCCTCCAGTTGTTATAGTCTATATATCTTTGATCTGTCATTCTTCAATAAATAACAAATGTGTTAATGTTGTTTTGGAAGTAAAAAAATTCAAATACTTTCTCTGCTAATATTTCTTGAATAAAAAAGATCCATGCTAATAGAAAATTATAGCATGTCCTACCATAGCAATATCTGCAAAGTCTCCTGCAAGAATTTCCCAAGTCTAGATTTGGCCATTCCTTGATCCTTTTAGCTTTGAAAACCTTAGATTTATGGGTCATTACCTGCTATATCTGTCCTTGCATAAGATATTTCACTACTTGGATGCTTCATTTATTTCCATATATTCTCTGCAGTGTTTATTTACCTGTAACAGGGAAGTATTTACCAGTACGACAGTTCAGTGAATTCTCATATTTGAGGATACGTATGCAGCCACTAACCTAGGTCAAGAAGTGGAACATTACCAGTGCACTGGAACTCTGCATTTCCCTCCCCAGCACTATTCTTTCTCTCTCCATTGTTGTTTTGAATGGTCACTTGGGTATTCATCTCTGTTTTTGTTACCAAATCATCACTACATCTCAGGTTTTCGATCTTTGGTGCACAGGTACATGCTTAAGACCCTCTTACACTTTTTAAAATTTATTTATTTATTCTAATTTGTTATATATGACAGCAGAATGCATTTCAATTTATAGTACACATTTAGAACACAATTTTCATGTCTCTGGTTGTACACAAAGTAGAGTCACATCATTCATGTCTTCATGCATATACTTAGGGTAATGATGTCCATCTCATTCCAGGATATTTCCTACCCCCCACCCCCCTCCCTTCTCCTCCTTTCCCTTTGCCCTATCTAAAGTTTCTCCATTTCTCCCATGCTTCCCCATCCCCCATCTCAATTATGAATTAGCATCCTCATATCAGAAAAAAACATTCGGCATTTGGGTTTTGGGAATTGGCTTACTTCACTTAGCATAATATTCTCCAACTCCAACCATTTACCTGCAAATGCCATGATTTTATTCTCTTTTAATGCTGAGTAATATTCCATTGTGTAT